TAGCTGATCATCTATAGGAAAATACATACATTCAATTAAAATAAATACTATACTATAGCTATGTGGTAAAGATTAATTTAGTGGAGGAAAATTCTATCAGAAAGTTTGGTCAAGCTGTAGTTTTTAAAAGAGCCTACTTTTTAAAACATCGAAAGAAATACTTTGGGCTTATTGTGTAGATGGACAAGATATCATGGTGCATATACCTCTCTTTACAGCTACTCCCTGCTCAAAACATGCGAATAGAGACAGAAAGAAGACTGCAAATACAGCTTCAATTTGACTTCATGCTGAAATATCCATTATAGGTCCTCTATGGTAGGCTGGTTGTACTGGCAAAACAAAAAAGGTTATTATTATCATATTCATTCAATACTTAATATGTGACAGTCCATGTTCTAGGATTTTTGTCTATACAATTTCCTTGATGATTTCCTCAAAAGAAACCTGTAGATAAAGAACATGAGTCTAAGTAACATGCCCAAGGTGACACGGCTTATGAATGAAAGGTCAGAATTCAAATATCATTTTTTTGACTTTGAGATATTGCTCTTGACTACCTTATTACAATGCATTTACTATTCATAATAATATCTATTATCCCACTTAGATGAGAATACTGAGGCTCAAAACTCAGTGCCCTGTTAAAAATATTTCTTCTATGGAATCATCCACTGAAAATTAAATCAGGTTTAAAATTAAATCAGGTTCTCCTCAAATCACCTTTCCAGGCCGGGCATGGTGGGTCACCCCTGTAATCCCAGCACTTTGGGAGGCTGAGATAGGTGGATCACCTGAAGTCAGGAGTTTAAAACTAGCTTGATTAACATGGAGAAACTCTATCTCTACTAAAAATACAAAATTAGTCGAACGTGGTGGCACCCGCCTGTAATCCTAGCTACTTGGGAGGCTGAGGCAGGAGAATCACTTGAACCCGGGAGGCGGAGGTTGTTGTAAGCCAAAATAGCACCATTGCTCTCCAGCCTGGGCGACGAAAGTGAAGCTCTGTCTCAAAAAAGAAAAAAAAAGAATCACCTTTCCAAATTACACTTTGCCACTAATAAGTGTAATTGGGATTCAACTTATTTCCTTGATTATAAAAAGAGATGATACATTGAAACCAATCAAAACAAATGTTTCATACTATAGGTAATAAAGAAAAAGTAGTTCTGGTTGGAAAAGCATTAAACAAAAAGCCCTGAGTTATTTTTGGCCCATACAGTATCCCCAACACACCTTCTCCCTCTGGACACAGAGCAGCATATGGCTGTTCTTTTCAGAGTTCAGGCTCTTCGTTTACTCTGAACCTCTAGGTTACAATATGTTTTGTAATCACTAATAAGGACCACCTGCCTCTTGAGAGATTCTGCCTAACAAAATAGAGAGACCCGTTGTTCAAACTCACTCTCAGGTAGACAATACACCCCTCATGTGTGGGCTGAGATTACTGAGTAGAAAAATTAAACAAATTATGCTAATTGATTGTAATTGCTAAATTAAGAACATATGTTAGTTTCATAAAAAGAAAAAAGAAACAATAATATTTGGAAAATAAAGACAATGCTTTTGAGGAAATGAAAACCCTGATGTATTTTCCAGGAAAAAGACAAAGAATAATCTACTTATTTAAACAATTCATTCAATCCACTAAGATATACTCAAGGCAAATTTACTGCACTCAAATATGGCTAACCATACACCCTCTTTGTACAAATTTATACTATGGTTGAATTCAGCCAGAAAAACTGGCTCTTTGAAAACAAGCAGAGTTGAATCCAGTAACTGACTGATAAATGCTTACCATTGAGAATGTGAAAGCTATCATAAATCTGGTTTAATAGAACAAGAAGAGATAGAGTATACGGAGAAGAGTAAATCCTCCTCTCAGTATCCTCCTTTGTCCACAGTGACAACTCCCACCAGAGGTCTGGACAGATTAGGAACCTCTCTTTAGGCTGCCATTGCAAAACCATACATATACCTTCATCAGTGCACCTGTTTCATTGTGCTAGAATGGTGGGTCCAAGTGTTTGTCTCCCCTTCTAATCTGTGAGTGCTCTGAGAGCAGGGTTCACATATTCACTCTAGTCTCAACACCTGTCACAAAGTATGAGCACAGACTGAATTTATCAAATCCATTCAAAAAATAATGCGTAGGTGATGATACCTATCCACATGGTACCATAGGAAAATAAATTTATCTTATATAAAGTTTACTTTTTGAGTGTAGAGGAATTTTCCAAGTATTAAGGCCAATATCAAAGACAAGCAGAAAGGACTGGCTGTGGGGACAAACAGTCAGCATTTTAAATAGAGATTCTCTCTGAACTTTCTCACACAAACTCAAGTGCTTCTTCTAATGGGAACTTCACTTTACCCGGTACACTCAGGTCTCCCACTGACCAGGTAGAATATTGAGATACTGGATTAATCATAAGTAACATTTATAGATCTCAGATGTACCAAACACTGGACAAAGTGCTTTATTGTATTATTTCATTTAATGCTTATTACAACCACATTAGGTGGGTCCTACTGTTTTCACTTTAGACATGATAAAACTGAGGCAAATAATTTGTTTAGTGCTTTGCCTAAGATCTAAGCAGAACATTAGTAAGTCGGTAGCTTGCCCCTCACTCTACTACTTCACCTTCAAGCAGGTGACCAATTCAGCTCCTAAGGAGAAAAATCATTTGGTTTGTCCTGATAATCCTCAGAATTCAATTCTTAATTTATAACCTCTCCCCACAGTCCAATTTATTGTTTTTTCTTCTAAGAGCTGCATTTCCCATTTCAGTAAAACCAGCAATGCTTTCTAGTTATAAATGATCATAATCATGCATGAGAAATAATTCTCACAAATTGTTTTGATACATTTTATGAACGATAACACAGTCATAAACATAAAACTTTCATGCACTGTTAACTGTACATAAAAGAGCAGCTTGAGATTCAATTGGAAGTTTTATGACTACATTATGTGTATATGGAGAGATGTGCATATATGTGTCTTTGTGTGTAAAATTATGCCAAGTGTCGTGGTATTGTATGTTAGTGTATATATTTCTCAAACATTGAATTTTGTTGCATAAATCCCCAATCATCAGAATATATTAATAATAGGCAGTCTGACATTAATAAAAGTCAGATAAAAAGTAGCTTTCCTATCTTGGCCCTTGTCAAATCATTATGTCTTATTTCATTTCCCATAGGTCCTCTTTCAAAAGGGTATCTGTCAAAAAGCTACTGATTATCAATAACCTGTGGCATTATCAAAGTTATGTTTCAATAAATGTCAATTTGGATCACAGAACAATGGATAAGATTTCATGAAGCACCCACGAGTAGTAAATTATTGATAGGTGGTCTTACGTATCACTACAATAGTTGTAAACATAAGCTGCCTGTGCATTACTAAGTGCATAGCTGGCATATTATCAGGAAGAAAATAAATCATCAAGTTTGTATAGTTTGTAATTTCTCATCGTCTACTTTTTGAAAACTTGGGTGACTGGTGCTGCATAGTCATATAACTTTGTGGGACATATTTGGACATACAAAACAAAAAATTGATTAAAACTATCAAATTGATGTCTTCTGAGTAGGTTAAAACACACTCTCACAGTATTATGGTAACTCTGGGAATCAAGAGGAGGAAATGGCTTTTGTTAGAAGAAAGAGTGAATTGCACATTAAAACAATAGAACAGAAAAAGAATACTTTCCTAGTTTATTTGAAGCATTTTTAAAGCAGCTTACTGTCTACAGAACATCGCTGTTCTGATAGTAATTTCCTGGTCACCAAATTTCTGTGACTATTCCTTCGTTTCCATGGAAGAAATGTTGTATGAATGAACTTCCATGCTCAGCTGAGACTACGGAATGTGCACCATACTTCTCTATACATAAAAAAAAGCCACTGTGTACTAATTGGGGACAAGAGTTGCTGAAATGTGAAAAACTTTTTTATCTGGTGGTAAATAGATGCTGCTCTCCCTGCCCTCCCTACCCAGCATCCACAGCCATGTGCCCTGATTTTCTGGACCTCCTTTATCCATCAAGTTCACAATTGGTTTCCTGCTCCAGAGCCCCTTAGCAATCCTGACTGATGATGGTACCTAGCAGCTCTCTCCAAATCCCCCAAAGACCCCTGCCCTAAGAGAGCTCCTCTGAGGGAATGCCCACCAGCCTGGCACACCTGATGAAGTTCCTCCTCCCTCCTGCCATCCCCATGTGCTATCCCCACTGGGTTCCTGCCAGATTACAGCAGAAAGAAACAGAGCCCTGGGCGAAGGCATGGCACCTGGCAGGTAAATATTCTGGTGCTTCTGGGCACCAACCCTAGCCCTTAGGAGCCTGCTTCCAGCTGGGCTCTTCAAGTCGCCCTCACATGGCCACTTGTAGAAACTGCAAAATTAATGGACCTTGGACGTGAAAAGTGCCTGCAATAGGCAACAACAGCAGGTAGCTCTAAAGGCTGTTAAATAATCTGAACATCACTCTTCGATACATCAACCTTCCCTGGCATTGCAATTGAAAGAGGCAATATAAACACAGAGAATGATTCACTTCCATCAATCAGATGTAGCCAGAAGGTCTCACCTTGTGATATGGCAAAGGTGATGTGCTCTTTTTTTAAGCCCAAATTATAAATGAGGGTATATTCAGTCAATTCTACCCTACCTCCAACACACAGACCTACAAAAATGTACAAAGATGACCATAAATTACTCTTTCAGAAAAGGGCAAAATTTCTCTAAGTGTACAGTCAATTGCAGGAAAAAAAATCAGTTCATTAAATTCCTACAGATATCAGGAGATTTCTCTACAGAGGCTTGAGAATGTCCATAACATTTTAAAGTTGAAGGGAGAATCAAGTCATACATTTTTTTAAAGTTTATTTATGGGGACATCATTTCTAGAAAAAGTTATATACTTAAAAATAAAGCATCCCTCCTGCAGAGCTATATACATTAATATACGTTTTATAACAATACTTGCTTTTAGATGAAGCTGATTGGTCCAGTGGCCGATGACTTTGTACTCTGTGCTTTTGTTGGTTATTTGATACTGGAAGATATCGTAACGTCCAGGAGCATCTCCGTTTTCATTAAAAGTGACGGGTGTGCCAGCACTGCCTGTAAAGATTTAGAAAACAATGTTAATAAAGTTTTAGTAAGAGAGTCCACTGGGCTTATTTTTCTCTTAGAAGAAATGGTAGATAAAAGTATATCGTGTAAGTGATACAAAGATTGCAATCCATACAAGCTCATTCTTGATAGCATAATATCTTTTACATGAAAAAAAGCCCCTGACTTACATACATGAATAAGATGTGCTTTATTGTACACATTAGAAAGTAAATGATGAGTAGCCAAGTTAAGCAATGTACATAACAGCTAAATAAATAAAAGTTGATAGGCTGAATCTTCAATACCGGCTACATAGAATGGTAGTTAATAGAGAAAAATGTAAATGTTGTGAAGCATGACAGCTATTTCACAATACAAAGTACAAACAGCAATTTGAAATATGGCAGGAGAATGATCCGGCCAGAATTGTGGGAGTTTTCCTTTTTCCAAAGTCTCTGAAGCGGTTGCCCTTTGCAGTTCCTGTGCGTCTGCCACCTCTGCCCAAGAACATATAAATGTGTCCTACTGTTGGGAAGCTCTCATGGTCTGGCAGTGATCTACAATAAGTCCCGACTCTGCTCAGATCATAAATGTTCTCCCCTTCACAGTGACACATCTAACAGTGGCAGAGCAGCAGGATGCAAGGACTGCAGTCTTTTCTAAACTCCATTCGTCTCTTCTTGGAAGTTTTCATCTTTTCTCTTAATAGTTTCTGCTCACTTTTACTTTCCCTCTTTCTTAAATTTTATGCAATTACAGGGGAGGAGTAGAAATGGATCACCATCCCAATGTCTTGTTCCGTCTAGCTTTACTATCTATATAGACTCCTTTTCTCCAAGAGCTTTTAGACCTCTCTTCATTTTTTTAATTATTTTTTCCTATCTTCACCTGACATCAATTCCTTTTCTTGGTGTCTGTCTTATCTCTGCAGGCCCCTTCTCTGAATCTCTTCTCACAGGATATTGAATTTAATTTCTATACTGTGCTAAAGAGTTTCCCCTTCTTATCTCTGTCTCATACTGTATTCTCAAAAAGTATATATTACTAATAGCTATATATGTCAACTGTACATATTCTCATCTTATAATAAGTTTCTTATTCTATTTGTAGAGTTGCTTAACTACCAGCCATCACAAAATTCTAAAATATTTAACTTATCGAACAAATCGACAACTTCATCAAAAAAAACAGTAACCTGTAAATAAATGTAATCAGAGTCACACAGCAACAATTTGAATACTTTTCCACTATTTAATGGACAGATGTCTAATATTCTGTTTTCTTGATTCTTCCTAAAATCTAAACATGGTGTGAGTTTTCTGATGAGACTACTGATATCTGGTATCATCAGGAACTGCTGAGGCTTCAAGAGATGGCACCACATGGAAGAAAGAGCCCCAGTCTCAGAACTGGAAGTTCCATGTCCATGCTAACTCCATTCCCCATTTATTTCCACAACTTGTGTATGTCCCTTTTTCTTCACTTACCACATAGAGAGTTCACAATAAATATGAATAAATTTTGAAGTCCTAAAAGGACTATAAACATGTAAATTTTTATTCCTATTATTATTCATTCACATGGAAATGACTTTATATATACATTGATATATGTATATTACTCAGGGAATAAAATACGAGCTCTCCAATCAAGAAGTGCTATCTTTACTACTCCTTATATATTCAAGTGGAACCCATTTGCCAAACATGACCAAAAACTTTCTCAGCTTCTAGTGACGTCGAGCAGGTTAACCTCTTAAATCCTCAGTTTCTTCATCTGTAAAATGGGAGTAATGATGATACTTTCTTATGGAGTTGTTGTCAAATACTTAGAACAGTATATGGGGAAAATTAAATTTTTCAGCCCACATTTACTTTCAGTACACACCAACACGCAGTAATAGAAAGGATGCTGATAGCTCTCTAAGTGATGGCTAGACAAAAGATGATCGAAATTCAAATGAGGAAGATATTTCTGGCTGGAAAAACACATATGTTATGAATTTCACATTAACATGATCAATTCCTGACATTTATATAACACTTTGAAATATTTTAATTGCATATTCTCTCCTCAATAAAGGGATACTTAAGTTGCCACCTCCTTGACTGAATGACTCCTTTCTTCTATAACAGCAGTTCCCAATCTTTTTTACAATAACAGTACCCAAGATGAAATAATGTCATTTGTATAACACATCACCATTAATATACCCTGAGTTATATACAATTCCTAATGGGCTAGCTGTTTCTATATCCAAGTCAAGAAAGCCTCTTAAGAGAGCTCATTCTGGAGAGCTACATTGTCACAAAAAATAATAATTTCTAATTTACTTTGAATATCATTATTAAAATCAAGTTACACTAAATTTGACATTGTATTAAGGTGTAATATTTGGAAACACTTATAAGTATGGGTTCTGGACACAGATCATTGGGTTCAAATGCCCCTCTGTCACTTACTGATATGGTGCCTTGGGTGCATTTCTCTATTTCCCTATATCTGGATTCTGAGTTAATAACCAGTAGTTGAACTGGTTTTTATTACTGATCACCCTTGCATCTTGTTTTCCTGATCCAATTTCTAGTCTTAAACTAGGCTTGCAGTTAAATTACTTCAACCCTCTTTCAGGAAGAACTGATTCTATTACATATTGACTCATTTCAAATGACTGTCATGGAACTCTGGTCTATGTGGAAAGAATATACATAAGGAACTAATTCATTAGCTGTTTAGTAATTCCTACAAGCTTTTTATCTTTTAAAAATATAACCTTTTGTACGGTACTGAAAGCAGCCACTCTGAGAAACAGAATTAAGCGGCATTTTGTCCACAAAAAAAGTTTCAAATGACAAATGTCTGTTAATACAGTCATCAGTTTATCAAGGTTTAACATCAGCACAGGTAAGAAATATAACTTGAAAACATTTGATTAAGCAATATTCAGACATATTTTGCATGATAAATTATGCTCAAATTTTCCTGTTTTGTTTTTCTCCATCCTATACTTTAGGTATTGTGTAAATGTTGAAGTGTATTAATTTTGGTTTTGAGGGCTTACATCAGTAATCCCAGCACTTTGAGAGGCTGAGGTAGGAGGATCTCTCGAGGCCAAGAGTTCAAGACCAGCCTGGGCAACATAATAAGACACCCCATCTCTACCAAAAGAGAAATTAGCCAGGCATGGTGGCAAGCACCTGTACTCCTCATTACTCAGGAGGCTGGGGTGGAAGGATTGCTTGAGACCAGGAGCTTGAGGTTACAGTGAACTAGAATTGCATCACTGCACTCCAACTCCAGGTGACAGAGTGAGATTCTGTCTTAAAACAAACAAACAAACTTTTCCATCCACATGTACTAGTGCAGAAATGGAAACAAAAAACATGGAACCGTGAAGTAATTTCTACTCATCAGGTAGTACCCTTAGTGGTGACACATTTCCTTGAATATCTTCTGTTCAATAAGAAATGTGTAGAAAAATATGTTCTTATTGGTAGTCAGCTCAAGCACTCCAACATGATTTTGTAGGAAAAATGATACATTCAATGAAGATGACTTTTTTTTTAATGTTGGCTCTTTTGAGTATTGTTCAGGGGAAGAGTATCACCTTGGGATTCCAGGACTAGAGTCTGCTTTCCGGCTCTACCAATTACTTGCATGATCTGAGTAAGTTACCCTCGTTAAGCCTGTTTTCTCATCTGTCAAGCAGGCATAATAAACCAACCCTCCTAAATTGTTACAAGCATTGCATGAGATGACAGTGTATATGACTGGTACACAATAGATGTGCAATGAACCCAAACACTCATCATCTTCCATTCCTTTGTCTGCACTTACGTTCTCTTGGTCTACATTTCTTGTTTATGCAATACACAATGTAAAAATAATTCATTCACCTTTATGCACAAAAATTCTAAGTCTGTTTATAACTGTAATCCTCTCTGTTTTTTTATTGTCAAGTTTATTACTTTTCTGTTCCCCTCCTGCTACCAAACTTTATCATCCTGCTCATTATTGCCTAAACTATTGGACAAACAGGAAAAAAAATAAGAAACCTAGAAATGAAATCACTTAATTTAGTAACTTTTAGTACCCTTAAATGAAGAATAAATATATGAGATTTGTCATTGACCAAAATGCCACAGGAAGTAGCAATTTTCAACAGCAACTCAATTATTCATGTGCTCTCTTTCCTTATCCAATTTACTTTACTAGGTATTTATTACACCTAAATAGATTCACATATTTGAATTAAAATCATATTGGCCTGGCACGCCTGTAATCCCAGCATTTTGGGAGGTCAAGGCAGGTGGATCACCTGAGGTCAGGAGTTCAAGACCACCTTGGCCAACATGGTGAAACCCCATCTCTACTAAAAATACAAAAATTAGCTGGGTGTGGTGGTGGGCACCTGTAATCCCAGCTGCTCAGGAGGCTGAAGCAAGAGAGTTTCTTGAACCCAGGAGGCAAAGGTTAGCAGTGAGCTGAGATCGCGCCACTGCATTCCCACAGGGGAGACAGAGTAGTCAGATTAGTCAGATCACTCTTACATGTATCAATTACTTACCCCAATTCTTTGAAGCTTTTAGTATGTAACTTACTGTATTCTTCTCCAACCATATTTCTGTTATCTTTTTGGTGGTAGTATCATTCACTCATCACTCAACATCCTGGCTACAGAGTTAGACTTACTTATTTCCAATTACCATTTAAAAAAATCATTCATGCATCTTGACACATACTGTTATAATCACTCTCTTGGAGTTGTCCTGTCTAGTAACTATACCATCTCTAACATTGTCCTCTTTGGAGACTACCTTCCTGCCTCACTGCAATGATTCTACGATTTCCTACACTTACCAATTCATTAATCACTCTGTTTTGTCACTCTGCGTTGCTCACATGATAGTGACTCTTCTCTCCTATTCCTAGATATGTTCCATGATCTTCCTAGGGAATAGCCACTGTTCTCTTGTGCTTCTCTGTCCAATGTATTGCTCTATCAA